CCAACCTGCAGCAGGGCCAAAGTGAAGACGGTAAAGTTGGTTTGTGATCAGTGTTTAAAGCAATTATGTAGGCATAAATAAGAATTTTCTGAAACTTTTTTAAAATGTCTAAAATCCCCCTTTGCCTATAACCTAAACCAGCGGTTCTCAAACTTTTTCACACCAAAGACCCCTAAATTGACACAAATTAGAACATGGGCCCCCATTTGATGAGAGTTTTGCTTTTAGAAGCAAAACGTGCAAAATATATCAAAAGTACTCATTAATTGCCTCTGTGAGTGTTGTTCTGTGATTATTATTATGTATCATATTATACAATTCAGTACAGTGGCATTAATACCTGAGCAATATTTGAGATGGTTCATGTGGAGCTAATTGTAATATTGCAGTTATTGTTTGGTAGTTATTCTGTAAAAAATGCTTAACATGGAAATGTTCAAATAAAGTGCTCCAAAATAGTACTTCTAGTACTTAAGTAGTAAATATAAAGCAAATATAACAAGTTACATTCCACCACTGTTCAACCTAACCCTATAAAGAGGGTCTGCAAGTAAATACAGCTGTCAGATGTCGTTGTTTGTGCATAAAGGGAAAATGTCATGTAATGTGTAATAAAAGCAACATTATCTTCACGTAAAGGGTGCTGGAAACAACAGCACCACCTGTCTTATTACATACAGTTTCTGCCTATCAAGGAAGCTGTAATTAGCAGTGGTGGACAAAGTACACAAATCCTGCACTTGAATCAAAGTTATAAAGGATATGTTAGTACATAATTATTATTATTATTTACTCATGTAAAAAACATTGACGTAAAAGCAGGATAATACTGTTGTAATTGTTGAGGTGGAGCTAATTTGAACTGTTTTGTTTTGCAGTGCAGCTAATGATTATTTTTATTATGGATTAATCTACTGATTATTTTCTTTATTTTTGAAATTCTGTCAGTTGTACTTGAATTAACTGTTGGGCAGTTTAATGTATAACAAAACGTATTTTATTAAATCTTCATATGTTTAGTGTCTAAAAATCTTTATTTGTAAAATAACTGGTAACTAAAGCTGTCGGATAAATGAAAAAAAAGAAAGTCCCTCTCCCGTAGTAAAATCTCCCTCTGAGATAGAAAGTGGAATGAAAAGAAAATACCTAAATTTTTTAGTTAAGTACATTACTTGAGTAAATGTTCTTAAATACTCTACGCCACTGGTAATCACTCACTCAATTTTCAATAACTAGAGAGTGAGTAACTTTCAACAGTTTCTTCTGAGGCATCACAAGACTTTAAAGCCCCTGAGAACTTGGCTTCACATCATGAAGGTGCCCTCAGGAGTTTTCTTGTAAACAAACAAAAGTTATATTTACATTCAGTGTTTCTTTCTGAGATGCATTGTGTGTATCCTTGAGGACTAACACACATGTCATGAAACTTTTGTAAAGCCCATCTTTTAAGACTTAAAAGATAATTTGAATTCTGCATTGTTTACATGCATTTAACTTGCTGGAAGTATTCCTCTTCACTGGCTTTGCGGGCACATTACTACACTTGTTTTATGCATTGCTGCCACTAACTATTTACCAGGGCCCGTATTTATCAAGCTTCTCAGAATTACTCATAAGAACACTGCTAAGAACTGACTTAAGAGTAAAAAAATTGTTGGCTCAAAGCTGTACTAAGTTTAGTTATCAAGCATCTCAGTCCTAATTTGAGTGACGTGTAGGACTAAATCTTAAGTGTCAGTCTTAGTGCTGATTCACGACACTTTGCTGTGCTGCAAACGGGATTTTGGATGACGATGTAGCCAAGGACCAATCACTGAATAGATTTCCTTATTTAAGAATATTCGCAGATAAATTCACATTGAATGGTAAAATTCCACAGAGGAGTTAATATTCAACACACATTTAACAATAAAGATTTACAAGATAATACATTATGATATGGGCCTACACTTTAATAAATGAAAGATTAAAAAAAGTTTGTCTTTATATGAGCGCCATAAATTGCGCCTAGGGGAGAGCGGGGTATGTTGTCACACTTTTCACACCATCTAATATTTACTGAGCACCGTACATCACAATGGTACAAATGTCATACCAAATGAAAGAATGAAGTCTTGGGCAGAAGTTTTGTATTCATTACATCTTCATATCTTATTTCATTATGGAGCTGTAGACTGTTGAATAGAGAGTTTGCACTTGTGACAATTTGCCCCATCAGCAGGTAAGTTGTCACACTGGATTATCAAACAGTTAGAACACTTAATTGTGAAAATTGATTTAAATTTCAAATTGTAACCAGAACTAAAAATAAAATCAATCAACAATCAAGCCTAGAGAATTTGGAAAATAAATAATTTAATTCAAAACAAAAATGTTGGCAGAGCACACATTAAATGGCACAACCTCTTTCTTTGAACTTTAAAATCAAACGTTCTCTGGAATGCAAATAGATCTATGGTAATTTAATGTAAAGCTGCAGATAACTTGCTTAAATGTATAACTTCTTAACTAAACAGATGTGTTTAAACACACTAATGCAACAATATGCATTTTTGTACGACGTACATATGTATCTGACTAATCAGACAAGTGTTTAGAGTCACAGTTCTGGCACACATAAATTGCCTGGCCTGAGGTGCAAACATCGCAGGCCCATTTGTTGCATTTCACACACTTAAACCACGTCTTCTTGGGAATACTGTATGAAAATGGCTCCACATAGATGAGGCCAAAAGAGATGTCAGTGGCTAACGTCACAATTCTTAGCTGTACTTGGTTGATTTGTTCTTCAACTTCACCTGCCTGACTGCCTTTAACATTATGTCAGGCGGTGTACAGTCATTCTCTGTCTTCTGTTGATAATTTTCTTCCTTCCTTTAAAAACACATTCCTCCTTGCAATTACAAATTAATTACAAGCTTATTTATCTACTACCCTTGTTGCCTAACTAAATTAATAACTGGATCATGTAGAGTGTGTGTTTGTGTTTGTATCTACTAACATACTACATGCCTGCGGTATAAGACCGTATATACTCTACAGCGCATAATATTCTATTTACAGTATCATTTAATACTTGTGTCAGAGGTAATTACACAATTTCACATAGTTTTTTGAGCATGTTCTGTGTTTATTTGTACTGGGGCAAGTAATCACATGTGACAACTTTCCCCAAACTGACATGTGTGCTAATGTTGGCAAAATCTCAAGGTTAGCTTAACATAGCACTTCAGCTGAAGTATCAAAAGACACGTTATTGTCTCCTCTACTTTGTGCAAAGTTATCATTTTGAACATTCATACGTAATAAGGTTGGAATACATAAAATGTAAAGTGCAAATGTTTTACTTTTGAAGCAAAAAAATAATAAAATTGTGCTCACCTCAGATTAGAGTGACCTTGACCACATGTGAACAGGAAGTTGAAGAACACAAAATGGCTATTTGATTTCTGACATAGACGCTCTAGTGTTGGAGTTAAGAGCAGTGTGACAACTTACACACGAGACAACGTACCCCGCTCTCCCCTACTACTCCTGTGAAGCTGGCTATTTGCATGAATTGTGTTTGGTTACTAACTGGGAGAGTGAGAGTGATTCTCAGCTTTTATTCTTAAATTTAAAAGTAGGAGTACATTTCATGAATTCTCAGCATTAAAGACTAAAATGGCACTTTGAGAAGCTTGATAAAAAACAGCCCAGAGGAATAACATGTGTGTGGAGCCACACGTACACAAATAAATAAAAAGTGTGCCCACTTTTATTAATTAAGTAAGCAACAATCAAAGTAAAAAAAAAAACAACCTTTAGATATAATTTTTTGTTAACATGGGAGAAACTTAGTCAATCTGCTTCACCAGGACTGTGGGCTGTTTGATCAGATTTAATGGTCAGTTGTCTTTTTGCATTTAATTTGACATTTTAGATAGTTAGTTTAGTTTTTTCCATCTTTTTTGTTTTTGCTCTCTCAGCCCCAGTGGGAGTGGATACAGTGGTTGCAGAATGAAATAAGAATTTAGGTGACGGACGAATAAAGTGAAGAATGAAATTTTAGTGACAAGCATAAAAGAAAATCAGGCAATAAAAACAGACTGAAAGCTTACTGACTCACAAACAACGTACCATGGGATTAATCTTGTGATAAGACACAACCACCTCCCCTGTCTATTCACACCCACATCCACACACACAGGCTGCTGGGACATTATTACTGACTGACAGGTATACTGAGCTGATAAGGGCAGGGTTTCAGACCTGAACCTTGCTCCCTGTGCGAGTTTCACAGCCTTAGGTGGAGTCCTGCTGCTCATCTAAGGTTTCAGGAAGTGAAAGTTTGATCCGTTCCACACACCGCAGCGGGAGCTCTCATACAGTAAGTTTGTCTAACTGAAGATGCTGCTACTTCTGAGGAATATTTAGTTTCGAGGACAGAGATTCGAACTACTGAGAAGAGTCGGCTGTTATGATATCAACACTAGCAAAGAATGGATAAGCTTTAAAAGAGTGAAGACAGTATGTACCACATACGTTACATCTGTTTAGTTTTGCGGCAAGGAAGCAACAGAAATAGAAGCATAAAAGTATGATAATATGGGCTTCCCTAATTATTGTGATGTTTTCATTTAGTGTAAATGAATGATGGAAGTATAAAATCATTTCAACATTTGCTTGATACCCCGCCCTCTGTTGATAGAGAAGTAATGGCTGCGTTTATGGCCTCCTGTTATTTGTCTAATTCAGCACTATAGAGCTTTAATAACTTTTTCTCATCTATTCTTACAGCTGCAAAATCATTATAAAGTCACTTTCACTGACATTAACATCAAGTGACTACTTACTGTCCTCCTCCGGCTTTCATTCGAGTTCATTTGAACCAATATGCATACAAATATTATGTTCACATTAGAGACCAAATGCACAAGAGACCTTTCTGAACATTTTAGAGGAGAAAAGGATTTGTTGCAGGTTCTCACAGCTGTCTCTCTTTCATCTTTCAGGATAACAACACTAGCATGTTGTCTGCTTCCTGGACGTCATGGCCTAACCTCTTCTGCATCCATTTATTATTGTGTGCAACTGGAGGTCAGCATTCATTTTTCAAATAATTTTATAAAGTCTGTATAAACCTGCTGAACCAGACAGAGTTTGGAAAAATAAACAGCCTGCTTGATGAGGTTAACTGTGCACCATAGTTTTTCAGGTAATAACTTTCTGGATTCTTGCATTTTATGCAATTTGTTGTCCAATACTGAAGAATAGCGTTTATGACTCATGGTGCTGTTTTGAAGGAGGAAAGCTGAACCAAAGCAAACTGCTCTATCGAATCAGACATTCTCATCAAAATGTAAACAGTGTTGCTCATTTCAGAGGCAGGAGACTGTTAGATATGGATACAGAAATACTTACTTACACCGAAAGGATGCGATAATAACAATAGCACATCCAAGGAAACGTTCACAAACTCTACCTCAACTTTAATGCTCGACATGTAAAGGATCACTCCAGTGTTTGAGTTTCAAACCAACAAAACAAAACCAACGTCCTCTGTGATATTTACATAACCCTGACAAACGTGTCTCAAGCACTGATTTGAACAAAGAGCATTGTGTGTTTCCATACAGTAACATGCAAAACTTATTCCTTCTGTCAATTCCATCAACTAGGCTACAAAAAAAATAAAAAGAGGCACGATATGACTTAAAATAAAATAAATGTATTACAGTTTTTTACAATTGCTAACAAGAATTTTTCAGTCCTGAGTTTACTTTTTCAAAACTCTTCACACTATTGTCTGTACCAACATGTAGCTTACACAACAGTTAATTTCACACCCAAAATGCACCAAATCAACCAAAACACTGCATACTTGTTTAAATCAAATAATTTTACAAAAACACCAGCAGTAGTTCTCTCCAACTGCAACACAATTACCTAAAAAACACTAACAACAGGTAGCATTACAGTAGATGCATCATTTTATGGGAATCTTTGTGTTCTTTATTGTTTTGGTGGTGTGTATGTAAGTCTTTAAGTATGTATGAATGGTAAGTCTTTATATAATGTACAACGGTATACAACAGGAAGTTATCGAAATGCAACAGGAAAACTGGAAAAGCTTCACTTTGCTTTACAGTTTTTTTCAATTGCTAAGATGCAATGGTCAAAACTGAAGCCACTTTTTCAAAAGTCTCCATTACCAACATGCATCCTGGCCAAACAGTTAATCTCACCTCCAAAAGTCACTCAAACCACCAAAACACTTCAAGTAAGCCTCAAAATAAACTCGTTCAGCCAAAACACTGGCAACAATACCCACTCAGAAAGCATACATTGTCACTCATAACACACTAACCTACAAAACACTAACAACAGGAAGCATTACGTACATTTGTTGAACTTTTATCCCTGAAATGTGACTGATATTCATATCAGATTTTCATATAAATCAGTATTTTATTATAGAATAATGTTGTTTTCAGTCACTTTGATACATTTCTCACATCTTGTTCAACCTCCACATCATCTAGTCGCTTGTGCACATCATATGTAAAAGCAATTTCTCAGTCTTTTGAGAAATTGCAAATTGCACATGCTTTGACACTTTTATGCAAATTATTATGTACATTTGTCTGCTGTTTCCTACATTATCAATTGCTTACTCATGTTGATCACAATTTATTACAGTATACTGGTTCTTTGTTGAGAAGTCTTACCCCCCAAAACATCTAGACATAAGTTCATTGCATAAGTCACTACATGCAAAATGGTTGAACATGTCATAATCTGCATTTTACTACATATGTCTATTAAACTTGTTTTGTAAATGTGTCCTACAGTAAATTGATGAAATTCTGATCTGTTGTGCTGTGAATAAGAATCTGTGGCCCAATTGACAGGAGCATCAACCTGGGGGGGTGTTTTCATGTTTCCATTTCTTAGTTTGTAATTGTTTCTGTTGTGCTATGCAGTGCTGTAAAATAGTCTTGTTTTTTTATTTTCTGCATCACAATGACATGGTGTCAACAAATTACAGTGCATACAGTAAAAGTGTAAACGTGAATCCTGTCCAATCTCTTGCAATGTTTACTGTAACTCTGTACTGTTGAAATGTATTTATGCCGTACAGAAAAAGTACAGCCTTCTGCATTTTCAATCATCAAAAGTTTAGTCATAGTTTACCAAAACAAATAGTTTTGCAAATGTACCAAAGTGACTGGAAAAAATGGAATGGAAGAAACCTGTAACATATTTTCACTTTATTGACTGTACTATAGTATATGTTACAAGAATGAATCAGAAATGCAATCAGTGATTTACTTGTGAAAAAAAGAAGTTCCTGACATTTCAGTGCTGCAATGCACTTTTTTCCAGTTGTTTACATAGTTAACACTGGTACCTGAGACCCAGTGACCACAGTCTGTAATTGATGTACCATCCCCTTGAACCAGTTCTGCTAAAATACAAGCACATTTCTTGCTTTACACTCAGCTTGCAGTTTTACAGTAAAACCGCATTCAAAACATCACACATATTTCTCCAAAACAAAAAATGGATGTAAATGTTCTGCAAAGATTTTCTATATATACTATATCTGTCCAGCTACAGCAAAAATTCAGGAAATTTCCAAACATTTTGTTTTGAACGTGTTTTGAACAGTTTTGGACACCGTGTGTTAGCATTTGAAAAATGTGCTGCAGGTATTTAATGTTTTGCAGGTGGTGAAGTAGTAATGGGAAAAGAGTTCATGGATTTTGGAGAAAGTGGTCATTGAATGAATTTTGTGTGAAAGCAATGAAAAATGATTCACAATTTGGTCCACATACACTTCTGTTTCGCTGACTGTGTCAAGAGTTTTGACAATGTGACTTCAGTTTTGACCAAGAGTAAATGAAAATTGCAAGGAAAACAAAAGTCTGCACTGTAAATGCTTGCTCAAAAAACAAAACAAAGTTAGTTTTTGCCAATAAACTTCCGTCCTCGCCAGCGTGTTTTGGCCAAATCCACGTAGATAAAAACTGTGTGATGGGCTTCCAGCTCCATGACTTTCTCAAAGAAATCTCCCCTGTGGGGGTTAGTCGTTGGGTCCTAAAGAAGAAATACAAGAATTACACACAAGCATAAGATTTTAATTTTGGTAAAATGCAGTTATGCCTTTTCAGAATACATACTGTATTTTAGCTGTTAGTTCACTGGAAGATTCTGACAATTGATGCCACCGTTGAGCGGGTCACATTTGGCTGCTCTCTGAGACCAGTCTCTTTCAATGACAGCCCATGGTTGATTACCTGGTTACCATAGTAGCCCTAATGTCATCAGAGACTACAGCTCTTGGTCATCTTTGCTGTTGTCTTACATGAAATTTACATAATTTCAATCAATACTATTTCACTACTTGTCTCAATAATCCTCTTTTTTAGGATTTTGAATGTATTTCAATGGGGTTTGTAATTTTGCAAATTGCTGTCCATTTGAATGCATGTAAGGTTTTGAACTTAAATTTAACAGTAACACTATGTAAGCATTTGCAAAATTGGCTGTGGATACACATGGTTTTTCTGGTGGTTGACTTTGAGTGAGAAAAGAATTCTTGAATTTTGAAAACTGTGGTTATTGAATGTCTTTTGTGTTAAATCAATGCATTTTGTATTATAGCAAGGCAAGAGTCAGTCTCAGTTTGGTCCACATAGACTTCTGTTGTGCTAACAGTGTGAAGAGTTTTGAAAAGTGAATTCATCATTGAAAAAATGCTTGTTAGCAGTTGTAAAAAACTAGAATCTACATGTTTGTAGGTCCTAATAAGTATACAATATTCACCAAATATTTATATCCCTGTGTATTTGCAATTTACCCCTAAAGGTCAGGTTGAACAACAGTGCCCGACAATATTCAGTCAATACAACACAAATGACAGCTGCTCAAATGTTCAATAGAGCAAAATGTACATAAAAAATCAAGTCGTTATGTAAGGAGTGTTTTTTCTATTTCTGATGAGATGAACTTTATAGCTCATCTCTCATTCCTGACATGTCATTTCTTTTTGATTCAGCGGTGTCAGAAAAATTCCAGCTGGCGCCGCTGAATTCAACAGTGCTACAAGGCTCCGATGTGCGATTCAACGCCACTGTGCAGGGAGTAATGCAGATCATGACCTGGACTGTCCGAGGGAATCTGGTCCTCACTGTTGCCAACAGTAGCGTAACCACATCCTCAAATCAGTTTTCGGCCAGAATCTACTCCAGTGGTGACATCAACTGTGTGGAGTTCACCATCCATAAGGTCACCTGCAGGGAGTCCGGCCCGGTCGTCTGCGCTGTGCTGGGGGAGTATGGATCAAAGACAGCACAGCTTTATGTACAAGGTAATGTCACCACATACCAGGCTGCAGTTGTAGGCTGTGTGTTTAATGACTCTGAAGTTCCTTTCAGGGTCATAAATAAATACAATAGGAGTGAGTTGGCTGGAGCATCTCATGCCCTTTTTAACCCGAAATTGAAATTGAATGGATGGTGGTAAACATGCAAGATAATGTGCACAATGTAAAACTTAAATTAAAAGCATAGTCCCAATTAGACACTTGTCCCTTTTACTGGCCTGATGTGGCTACACGCTTTGACAAATAGACGCGGGTCTCAAATAGAAGCCTGGTATGTTTTTCATAGAAGTTCTTTGGATGTATAAAACCTCTTGAAGCCCACCTGAAGGTCACCTGCTTGAGCTAGTTCTAAACTGCTTAGATCACACATGCAAATATAAATGCTAAACTTTTAGATCAGTTAGATTTTCCACAATTTAATTGTTTAGTTCATTTTACGAAAACAATGAGCACCAAAATATTATTCATTACAGTGGGCAATTACATATAAATATCCTATGTGCCACACACACTGCCCTCACCTGGACACCATCCTAATTATACAAATTTTTTTAATACTTAGTTCAATATTTCTACATTCACTCTATGAAAAGTATCTGAGTGTAGTTGCAAGGAGGATGTTGTGACTGGGATGTACTCAGGAGGGCAGCAGTGAGCTCTTTTCATCTGACTTTTCAGCATCCTCTGGCAATAACAAGCCAAAGAATTTCTGATGAAAAAGATGACCAAAAATTACAGTATTTTAGATATTCACACACACACACACACACACACACACACACACACACACACACACACTAGATGGCCAGTATAGTGCTCATTATCTCCCCATCACCTTTAAAGGGAAGCTGCTTTACATGTAGAAACTATTTTAATTTCAGTTATTTTCATCTGTACTGACACAAGTGTCTTTGCGTGTTTGATTTGTGGAAAAACTTCCAGCCATGAATATGACAACCTTTTGTTCAGGGAGAAAGAGTAAAAATTGTTGCTGCTGTAAAGAGGGAAGTTGAGGACAGCCTAATAAAACATTTACAGCCTGTATAACAGAATTCAAACAAATATAACCTACTGGTGAACAAAATACAACATAAGACATCTTTTAATTATTATAAAGGTAGCCACTGTAATGATTCAGAGTATCATCTTTTAATTTTAATTGACAATCATCACTTATGTTTTTAAAGCAGTGTTGGTCACTAAAAACATTCAAATTGTTGAAAAGACATTACAGAAATAATGATTAAATAATACAGTTAAAAAACAATTTTGTAAGTACACTCATGACTTCAAAACTTATCCATAATGTTTTTTGCCATATGTCAGTGGATATACCGCACATCAAACATGATAAAATAGCTTCAGAAAAGAGGAAAATATTCTCCAAATGTGTTGTATGACTCTGCAGTTCACAACATGTTGTAATACTTTTAATATGTTATATATACAGTCTGTGAACAGGTTTTAGGTAGGCAAAAATACACGTTATTAGATTATATTTATCAGTTAACAAAATGCAAAGAGATTGAACAAAAGAAAAATCTAAATAAAATCAATATTTGGTGTGACCACCCTCTGTCTTCAAACAGCTTCAGTTCTTCTAAATACACTTGCAGAAGGTCAGGCATTCTGTTGGCATATAGTCAGGTGTATGATTGAACAAACAGGCGCTAATGATCACCAATTCAATATGTAGATTAAAACACGATCATTAACAGAAACAGAAACAGCTTTGTAGGAGCAAAACAACTGGGTGAGGAACAGCCAAACTCACCTAACAAGGTGAGGCTGCTGAAGAAGGTTTACTGTCAAAAGTCATACACCATGGCAAGATTGAGCACAGCAACAAGACACAAGGTGGTTATACTGCATCAGCAAGGTCTGTCCCAGGCAAACAGGGCTTTACAGGTCAGTGGTCTGCCAAGGAAACTTACTGCAGCAGATGAAAGACACATCATGCTCACTTACCTTCGCATTCGGAAAATGTCCAGCAGGGCCATGAGCTCAGAACTGGCAGAAAATAGTGATGCCCCGGTACACCTGTCTACTGTTTGGAGAATTGCCAGAGGCTGCTGAAAAGTCTGATGAAAAGAGCTCACTGCTGCCCTCCTGAGTACATCCCAGTCACAACATCCTCCTTGCAACTACACTCAGAAAAATGGCAGCAGGTGCTCTGGACTCATGAGTCAAAACGTGAAATATTTGGCAGCAGCAGAAGGCAGTTTGTTTGTGGAAGGGCTGGAGAGCAGTACAAGAATTAGTTTCTGCAGGCAACAGTGATGCATGGTGAAGGTTCTAGTGTTGTGTCATTCAAAGAACATTTCGTTCATAAGACCTAATCGTGTATATGACTCGGGTTGAACGGGTTGTCTCAGTGAGTGAGTCGTTCATTTTCACGCATGTGTGAAGGATCTTGGACTCTTATGTTCACTCGTCACATGGCAGCTGCATGGGCTCCGTCAGCACAGGAAACAGAACTGATTAGTTCACAACTCATAGCAACTTTGGGTCTTTGAGTCGTTCATTTGTCACGTGACAGCTACTGTGGAGCAGGAATGAACGACTCGTTCAGCGCTCACATGGGTCTTCCTCAGTCTTTCGTTCACTCGGCAGGCTGAGTGACTGCCAGCGCCGGATAATGAGAGGCAGGTCACTGGACTGATATTATATAGCTATTTTGTTAACTATGTGACATTTAATAAAACATAACATTATTACAGAGCAGTGATGTTGTGCTAAGTTATAATTTTAACACAGCCGCACCATAACGTCTCGGGTTACGTATGTAACCCTGGTTCCCCGAGAAGGGGAACAAGACACTGCGTCGGTTCTGACACTATAGGAACGCCTCTAGGCGAAGCAGGTCTGAACGTGAATGAAATCACTTCAGTCCTATTGGCTTGTTGATAGAACGGTAAGGTGTGACGGAATAACCGGAGGAGTATAAAAGCACATCTGTACACACTCATCATTAGCTTAAACTATGAAGCAAGCGCTTCAGGCGGGGAGAGAGGTGCGACGGGCCGACGCAGTGTCTCGTTCCCCTTCTCGGGGAACCAGGGTTACATACGTAACCCGAGACGTTCCCCTTCGAGGGAACTCGAACTACGTCGGTTACGACACTATGGGAACGAGATACCCACTAAACCGTGCCGAAAACCCCGCCTGGCCCAGTGTGCAATAAAGTGGCATGACTAAGAGGAGAGCGCACGAGTGCCAGGTGCCGAAGGAAGGTCAAGACTGTAAAACCGAATGAATGTGTGCGGAGTGGCCCAGCCAGCCGCTAAACAAACATCCTGCAAAGAGGCCCCGGAAAGGAGGGCTTGAGAGGCCGCCATGCCTCTGGTAGAATGAGCCCTCACAGCCACAGGTGAAGGCAAACCGCGCACCTGATAGGCCAGGGAAATAGTCTGAACAATCCAGTAGCTAATAGTATGTTTGGATGCAGGGAGCCCGGCCCTGGGAGACCCAAAACACACTAGCAGCTGGTCAGCCTTCCTCCAATGGGAGGAACTCAGAGTGTAAATACTCAGTGCTCTGACAGGGCAGAGCAGATGAAGTCTCCCGTCCTCCGCCGTCACATGAGGTGGAGGATGAAGTGCCTGCAGCACTGTGGACCCTGCCGCACAAGAAGGCACTTTAGGGATGTATCCTGGACGAGGGTGCAGGATAGCCCTAATATTCCTCGGGGCAAACTCCAGGCTTTGCGGGAACCGAAAGCGCTTGGAGATCCCCCACCCTCCTCAGAGAGGTGATAGCAAGGAGAAAGGCCATCTTGAGGGTCAAGTGCTTAGCCTCAGCTGACTCCAGGGGTTTGAAGGGGGCCTCAGCCAACGCCCCAAGAACCACTGCCAGATCCCAAGTGGGAACCTTGGACCGAGTCGCAGGTCTCATCCTCCGGGCACCACGGAGGAAACGTACAACCAAGGGAAGTTTCCCCAAGGACCCCTCCCTCAGAGGGGTGTGGAAAGACGAATAGCTGCCACGTACACCTTGAGGGTGGAAGGGGAAAGACCAGCAGAGAACCAGTCCTGGAGGAACTCAAGTACCTGAACCACCGGGCAGGTAACAGGGTCCACCGACCGCTCCCTACACCAAGTGTAGAAAACGCTCCACTTCAGGCCGTACATCCTCCGTGTGGACGGGGCCCTGGAGCTCAGGATGGTCTCGACTGCTCCGGCTGTTAGACCCGCCTCTAGGTACTGTGCCTCCTCAGGGGCCAGACCCACAGTCGCCATATGGCGGGGCAAGGGTGAACAACCCGGCCCTGTGCCTGGGACAGCAGGTCTCTCCTCAGAGGGACCCGCCACGTCGGGCCGTCCAGGAGCGACATGATGTCCGAGAACCACACCCGGGTTGGCCAGAACGAGGCTACGAGCAGTAGGCCGACATTGTCCTGGCAGACCCGCTCCAGAACAGCAGAGCGACTGGGGGAAAAGCGTACAGACGTAGCCTCGGCCACGAATGTACCATGGTGTCCAGACCCAACGGGGCTGGAGGAATGAGAGAAAACCATAGCGGGCAGTGCGTAGTCTCTCTCCACGTCTATGGGGCCGAACTCTTCGCACAAGAGCTCCACCACTGCGGGGTGAAGTCTCCATTCCCCCTGCCTCGACAGCAGGTCTGCTCCCTGATTCTGCGTCCCCGGGAGATACATCGCCCTGAGCGATAGTAACCTCTACTGGGACCACTGGAGGATCTGACGCGCCAGTCTGTACAGAGGGCGCGAGCGCAGACCGCCCTGGTGATTCAGATAGGCCACCACCGCTGTGTTGTCAGAACGAACCAGGACGTGGTGGCCTTGGAGATCGGGCAGGAAACTCCTTAGAGCCTGGAACACCGCCAACATCTCGAGACAGTTGATATGCCACTCGGATTGATGCACCTGCCAGGATCCCCTTGCAAAGCGGCCGTCCATGACCGCGCCCCAGCCCGTGAGGGAGGAGTCTGTCGAAATGACCAGCCGGCGACAAGACCCTCCCAGCACGGGTCCCTGGGACAGGAACCAAGTTTTCTTCCAAACTGATAGGGAACGAAGACACTTGCGCGTAACCCAAATCAGACGGAGAGGATTTCCCCTCGGGGAAAAATCCTTGGTCCTTAGCCACCACTGCAGGGGTCTCATGTGCAGCAGTCCAGATGGTATTACGCTGGACGCAGCCGCCAGTAGACCCAACACTCGTTTTATAGTGATGCCGTGGCCTAACTTCACCCCTTTCACGGCAGCCAATATGGTGTCAACACGTGCCGGAGACAATTGTGCCCGCATCGTTGTCGAATCCCCTACTACCCCTAGGAACGTAGTCCGTTGGGTGTGCGCCAGCACACTCTTCTTTGCGTTGAGCCTCAGCCCTAAACGCCGCAGATGAGCCAGAACGACATCTCGATGCCGAAACGCCAACTCTCGAGACTGGGCTAGGATGAGCCAGTCGTCGATGTAGTTGAAATCCGGATGCCCTGGAGCCTCAGCGGGGCCAGTGCTGCATCCATACACTTGGTGAATGTGCGAGGGGAAGTGCCAGGCCGAATGGAAGAACCTGATACTGGTAAGCCACACCCCCGAAGGCGAACCTCAGGAACTTCCTGTGAGAAGGACGGATGGAGACGTGGAAATAGGCGTCCTTTAGATCTATCGTGACAAACCAATCCTCAGGTGTGTGGGAGGGGAGAAAGACTCGCAAGCGCATCCTCCACCCGAGGCATCCTCCCGTAACCACGGTCCCTAACCCCCATCACATTACTGTAGTTCAGTGATCGTGGTGTGGAAAGCCATGTAGAGAAGGGTCGGCCCCATGATTACTCAGTTCATCATGTAAATCAGGAAAGAATGGCAGAAATCGGCGTGGAGGTGGTGCGTGGTGCTTAAGAAACATTTCATCAATATTACCACTAGCCTGTGGTGTCTGCTCCTCCTGTGGCCAGTTGATGTTGAGCTTAGCCACGGCTCTAGTCACCACCTCCAGCAGCACGTCATAGTCGGGCGCCGCCAGATGACGCCGCCCCGACACCCGGAAGTTATCGCCCACTACGCTGAGGCTGATCCGGGTCCGCCAGAGAACGCAACGTAACTTTTCCTTTTTATTTACCAACAGAGCCGTGCTGTTGTTTCACAGCCTGTGACTGGTGAACAACCTGCAGTGTTTGAGAGCGATGTGCTCATGTGTGTTTCTCTGTCTGCAGAATCCGGACCTGATGTGGCCCATTCTGCGTCCAGAACTGCCAAACTGCTGCTTTATATGTGTTTATTTCTCTGTTCCTCTCTCTGTGCTGGAGTTCTTTAAGAACTTGTTGGCTTGATCCAGATTATTATTGAATTTTAACAAGAGTGTGTTTATTCATATAGTGTTTCAAGCTTATTAATTTAATATATTTACTGCAATTAATATTTTACTCATGGATAGGGACGTTAGGCTACTGTATGAATGAGCACTTCAGAGATAATGATAGTAATTATATACATAAGCCTTTATATGGCTGGACTGGTTTTATACTACTCGGGAAAGATTGTGAAAATGAAAGGATTTAGCCGGAGTAGTGGTGATTACATATTGACAACATATTTTTTTTACATGGTTTGAATTTGGTTGTTTATATAATGATGATATACAGCAATCAAGAGGCATTATACTTTGTCAAATAAAGCAAGCCAAGCAGCCTTCCCTGTTTGAGAACGGCGCTGTTTTTTAATCGCCCACTAGAGGGCTGCAGCGCCGCAATAACCAGCCTAGTTAAAATGAACGAAATGACTCAAAAAAAGATTAGTTCATTTTAATGAACGAGATTTGAATGAACAAGTCTGTCAAAAGACTCGAATTTGCCATCACTAGAAGGTTCATTGAAAGTTTGGGGCTGCATTTCTGCAAACGGAGTTGGGGATTCGATCAGAATTAATGGTCACGGACACCAAAGGCATAGTCCTATCCATTGCGCCATCGCCATTTTTCTTTTGTTCACTCACTTTGCATTTTGGTAATAGACGAGTTGAGCACAGATTGTTTTTCTGCAAGGGGACGTTAATGAGGGACACTGACAGTTCAATAGCAAACACTGTATAAGTACTATAGATTTATAAAATTATTTATAAAACAGTGTAGCTGAAGATTTGCTAACCCTAACCCTCATTTGGGAGGTGGTAGCAATATCACTTCCCAAATGAAGCAAAGAACCTAATGGGGACACAACATGTTCTCATCTCTCAGTGACTAAGCTGACTGGGTCTTAACACTTAGACACTAACAGAACCACAATCCAGCTCTGTCTTCTTGGTGGTTGGTAAGAAGATATTCCACAGCTTTTTTCTCTCAATGCGTCTGCTGTCATAAAGACTCCTCCCAGTTTTGTTGCATAGTTAGTTGGCTATTAAACGTACTAAGGTGGAGTCGGATGAAAAACGTTTGTGCTGTGGCAGCCCACTGACAGTGGTATCAATCAGACTAATGCTACTGCAACACTGTAGGCCCAGTGAGGTTGTATAGCAGTACTTTAAATTTAGAAGCCAACGTCAAAGTGCTAACATGCTTACATGCTCAGATTGATTGACTAATTGAATTGTCACGTGCTGATGTTTTATGGGTAAAATGTTTACTATGTTACCTGTGTTAGTATAGCATGTTAGTATGCTAATTAGCACTAAACGCAAAGTACAGCTGCGGGTGTTGGCAAGTCCATCTGGGGTGCGTTTCCCAAATGCATCGTTGCTAACTAGCAAGTTCTGTGGTTGGAACTATGCAGTTGTAATGCAAATGTTTCCCAAAACCAGAGTTAAAACTACGGAGGTAACTACGTACTTAATTTACTACATGAGTCACCAGAAGGTAAAAGGATGAAAAAAACATTTAGAAGAGGGGTGTTCTCTAGTCTTTATTACAAACATATATAAAAAGAGACAACATACAATTCATGAAAGTACTTTATTGAATTCATTCTTGAGAGCTTTCATTTCCATTATGACAAAGAAAAAAAGAACATATATTTAAGCTATATCAATTTATTAGGCTATATACTATTTGTATTGTTGATTTTATTAATATTCTTGTTGATTTTCTTGTTATTGCTGGTATACAAAACAATAAGAAAAGCCAAAAAATAATAATTTTGCATAATAATGTAACCTGCCTTTCGCCCGATGTCAGCTGGGATTGGCTCCAGCCCCCCGCAACCCTGTACGCAGGATAAGCAGCATATAATCTAATCTAATATCGGTGACATTAACTGTCAGAGCATAATATGACAAAGTTTGTGAGTTTTGCAAGTTTACTGCTATAAAAGTCAGACGGAACACATCAGGAGACATTGTAGTTCAAACTATGTTGGTTTAAACCACTGTGGTGCCAACAAGGTACAAAAGGTTTGGGAAACCGTCATACTTCAGATGTTGGTCAGTTTAAAGGTGCATTGTACAATGATAGCTAAATGCTACCTTCAGTCATTGTACGGGAAACGGACTCCAGGTAGATGTTGAGATATGTATTACATGGTGAGTGAAAACTTTTGTAGCTGGATGAAAAGTCCAGGGGTCACCGATGACATAAGGATTCATCCTCAGTTGTTTCAGTCTGGGCAAGTGGTGGACAGACCGGCTTTACCATCCCTAGAACAACGCATACATAGTGGCTTTAACAAACAATATTTCTTTCATAATATTGAAAAAAGTTAGACACATTGCTTCTTTGCCTGATGTAGGATAATGTGATTTCTTCAATACATCTCTACTACATTACATGTCCATGTCTTAGAAATGTCTGAGAATCCACAAATAGATCCTCTCTACACTTGATATTAACATATGACCTGCATAATTGAAGAATAATCTAATAAAATGGATTTTTAACTGAATAAAAAACCCATTTAACACATACTGTATAGAAATTACATTAACAGCAACAACCCTGAGTGTACGGTTTCAACCAGGACGTGCACACAGATAGCGCGGATAACATGCTGTCCAAGATGGAAAAGGAGTGTGACAAGTCCATTCTTGCAGCAATCTGCATTTTGTAGGGGAAATAGAAAGCCTATTTTGATGCGTATAAGAAATATGTGTAATGCTTCTATCCTCTATAAAAAAAAGTGTGTGCAGGGCAATTCTTTTAACTGGGTTTCTTTTATGTTCAATTTGGAAACAGTCTGGATGAGAAACCCGCGATGTGTTAATGATAAGGGCTTATGGTGAGAATGAGAAGGCTTTGGATAAGCAGCGCCGTCGGTTTCTGTGCAAGGTGTAAACCTCAATATGGCCCATGAGAGATACGTCAGACTAAATTAGTTTTTCTCTCCCATTAGCATCCTCTGTTCATGTTGTAATAGGGCTGGACAATAAAACAATAACAGAACTTAATTTGACTTGTGCATATTTGTTGACAAAGATTTTATCATAATTGTTTTGAATGTCCTATCTCAGCTTTGTGTTGACCATAAAGAAGAGCATTAACCACAATTGACCATCAGGTTTCTTCAACTTTCACTCCGGAGCAAAAATCTGCCTTATAACTTGAAAGAAATAACGATTTGATATTTATCATGATAATTATCGATGTCGAAAGATATGAAACTTATCGTGATAACATTTTTGACCACATCGTCCTGCCCTATGTTGTAATGATAGTATAATGATACTTCTCCACAAATTCACATCTAAACATAATGTACTAGAGAAAATAGAAACAGAAATGTATGTTCACAGACTTTTCAGTGCTTTCAGTGTTCTTGCCATGTGTTTTCAGAACGTGAATATTGTGCTGCTTTTCTCCTTTGGGTGTTCGCTATTTTTACTTTGACAGTGTCATTTGACAATAAAGAGCTGTTTGGTATTTGAGTCTCCCACTCTTAATTCTGGTTTTCCCTCCTTTCACAGTTCCCAAGCCAACGGACTGGACCGTGCTGATAGCTGTGGTTGTGTCCATTGGAGGTTTTGCTCTGCTGGTTTTGCTCATCCTCGGAATCATCTTCTGCTACAAACGCAGGAAAGAAAAACGTAAGGCCCTCATTATATCAGTCTAACCCAGTTTCACAAATGTCATAGTAACCTTTGTCTGACATAAGGATTTTCTCGAAAATATTAATGAGAATGGGACTGTTTCTTTAACATGTATAATATAGTTTTGTATATATTTGTGTATGTAGAACTGGAAAAACTGAGTTTGAAAGCAGGTTGAGTCACAATTTCTGTTTTGTTATAGTACTAAAATAAATTTGGGTAAAATAAAAAAAAGAACTAATAAAAAGAGAATGTATCAATAGAATAAGCAGGCAGCTCAGATAATTTTACTGACATTCTAACAGTAGTGACATTTAAAGATGAATTTATAGTTTATCCTGACACTGAAATCAAACCAGTGATACAGATAGTTATGTATATCACATTTACGTGAACTAACTTATTATCTTACAATCCAGAACTTAACTACCAAGATGAAATGAGGTAAGAAGCCACCAAAACCAACTTCTTCTATTCTATGTCTACATAAGAGCATACCTAGACATGTGTCTGCATACAGTAAAAGTATCTGTTGTCCTCCGTGCAGCAGGAGAGCGAGGACCCAGAGCCAGATAAGTGGTGTCAATGCAGCTGGGCAGAGACAGGGTCAAGTGAATACAGGATATGTGCCAGAGGGTCAAACAAGTAAGACTGATAAGTGCATGTACACTGAATGAAAGACAAATTGGTACTTTGTTATCATGTGCTACAATGCTATACCTAGCCATTATCTACATGTGACACATTAAAGTTAAAACTCCTCTCTGCAGTCTCTGTTCTCTGTTCACAGGTGTCGCTCCCAGTGAACTCACTGACAGTGGCTTTGGCCAAGCAAATGGCTCCAGTGTTTTTGAGGTAGGGTTGTGATGTTGTTCAGTCGTGCATGATAAGCAGTAGAAAATCCTTGCATGCAGTGGTGTGCTCAGACCCTTTTAAGTCATGGGGGCGATAACAAAGAGGCTCCTCTGTGATACAGACATTGTGTTTGGTGGACACAACATTGGGAGGAAACAAAGAAGATCTGTCACGACTGTCTTCTTCCATGCCTTCTTGGCTTAGGGATTGTACACAAATGTATCCCTTGTGGGATAAAGGGAAAATCAGTACTCAATCAATAGGTCTAGTGCGTAGTTTTTTTCTCAGTCAATAGTAGAATCAATGATCAATGATTGGGAGTTTACAGCCACACTCTTTGAGGCTGTACTTAGGCACTGTGGTGCTTTGAGCTAAATGCTATCGTCAACATGCTAACAAGCTCAGAATGACAATGCTAATATGTTGATGTTTAGCAGGTGTAATTTTTTCCAAGTTCACTATCTTAGTTTTAAATTAACACTAAGCAAAAAAAAAAGTACAGCTGAGGCTGATGGGAATGTCATTAGTTTTGTAGGTATTTATTCATAAAACCAAAATGTTGAACAAATACATTTTCATAATGATGGCACTAGATGATATGTCAAGGAATGGGAAGTGATAACAATTCATCCTGAGGGGGACGGGAATGTATATTTCACGGCAATCCATCTAATAGTTTCTGTCTCTCGCTGCTGGGATGAAATGCTGTACTGGTTGCAGCTTTCATTAAACAGTAGCAGGAGTTAGTTGGACTTGACGTACACAACTGTCTGGTTCCATGTGGTATGAGACCATAACCCATTAACTAGGGGGAGGTCAGGCTGGGGAAGGGGGCGAACAAATCAACTTCACACAGACCAGAAACGGGTTTCTGCCAACCATACAAAAGCAGATCGACCACATCTGCATCAACCGGAAGTTTAGGCACTCATTGCTGGATGTCAGAGTGAAAAGGGAAGCTGACACTGGAGCACCTTGTCATACACAGCTGAAACTGAAACACATGAATCCCAGTGGCAGCAAACAAGGCATGCAAGAAAAGTGTCAGAAGGGACAAAAAGAAGTTAACTGAGGATTAGCACAGGAGGCAGAAGATGCAGCAGGAAAAAGCGATCTGAAGGAACTTTATCTAACCAAAAATTCAAACTACAGAGGAATAATGCTGCTTTCAACACAAGGGAAGGTGCTTGACCTCATTCTGCAGGAGATGCTTCAGAAAGTAGTTGATGAAAGACTGAGTGAAAAAACAGGCTGGCTTCAGGAAAAGTAGATCCTGTGGAGACCAAATTGCCACCCTCCGGATTATCATCAAGCAATCCATAGAATGGAACTCTCTCATCTGTGTCAGTTTCATTGATTTTGAAAAGGCCTTTGACAATGTCAATCATGAGACACTTTGGAAGCTGATGGCACACCATGGCATCCCGCTGAAGTTCATCAGCATCATTACGAGCACCTACCAAGGCATGCAATGTCAAGTACTTGATGAAGGAATGTCCATCAGAGGCCTTTAAGGTCCTGACTGGCGTGTGAGAGGCATGTTTGCTCTCTCCCTTTCCCTGCCTCCTCTGCATAGACAGGATCATGAACCAAGTAACCAACAACAGCAGAACTATTTTCATTTCCCTGAGGAAATTCAGGGGAATCCGATCACACGTTCACTGACGGCTTTGTCAGAGGTGTGTCAAGCAAGCCAGGGACTCTTGAATGTCATTCAGAACTCTTCAAAGTAGAAGCTCTCAATAAACTTGTCATAAAGCATTGCTGCAAAAAAAACTTTCTTGCGCTTTTATTTTGGAGGCACCAACACTTAAGAGGAAGTGATTATGTGAGTAACTGTATCTGTCATGACTGAGATCTATTTCAGCACCAGCCGCTATCAGTTTATTTACTTTCTTACTTTATTTAATTTTTCTGCTATCAAAGCAATTTGGCCGCGGGCCAGATATTATTGCTGGCGGGCCGGTGCTGGCCTGCGGGCCACCTATTGAAGACCACTGCTCTAAACCCATGCTGTATGCCTCTACATGCCTTTAGAAACCATGAGAGGTGGTGATTTATATACATCATTTTTCACAGCCCTTACAAATGAGATGAAGGAATTACCAGCCATATGAAGTTATTAGCTTTAATCATAAAGATGCCAATCATTTTACTTGTCATTTATCAGGCATGGAACAAGTGGGTTATTCATTGCTTCATTCAACTCATTGAAGTAATGAATGAGGCGCCTCTTAAACAAATATATTATTCGAGTCCACAATTACAGCCTAGTAATTCCAAGATGATTGCCTTTTCAGTGGAGGAATATAGTTACATGGTTTATGTGTTATATAAACTTTTGAAATAGCAAGGCTGGAAAATGAGTCTGCACTGTTTTAACTGTAGATCTGCAAATTAGAAACATTATTATTACATTATTAATGTCAAATTTGTTTTGCTTTTCAGATGCATGGTGTTGTGACCAGTAACCAGGCAGTAAATAGCTACAGTGGTGCTGACAACACTGTGGACAAATCAGGCTTCAAGAAACACAGACATGTCACCATTGTGTAAGGACAGACAGAGGACCAGGACGTCTGCAAATGTTTATGAGTTTGAGTTTATGAGTCAAACTTGCACAGCACCTTCAAAGTCTTACTGCTTTGGCTTCTAAAGACTGGGAAATTGTGGGGAAAAGTACTAATTCTGTCCCCACCAAAAACTGATGTACTGTTGGCAGGGGACACGTATTTTGTTCACTGCAGGAATTTAGCTATATCAGCAGAATATAAACTATTTTAAATCATAGGAAATATGTTAAAAACACATTTAAAATTGCAAAACAACTGTGTGTGCTACGGTAACAACTTGCAGTAGCAGGATCAACACATAGTGAGCACAATTAACAACCAAACGTGAAACAACTGGAGCAGGAATTGAAACGTTAATTCTTTGGTTGATCTCCAGAGGATATTTGTTAGTTGAATAACTATGTTTATCTAAGCCATATTTTTTTGAGGCATCATGTAATTAAAATTAAATATTCAAAAGGTACCATCTTGAACTTCCTTTGTTCTTCTACATCTGTAAATGTCTTAAAATGTAAATGTAGATGACAGTTCTCTGATCATTGGCCTACTTTTAAGACGTGATGAAATAATTAATTACCAAAAACCCCTTACACATATACGAATGAAAAATCCAGTGTTTCTAATAGTCACCACGAAGAATCTTTCACACGTATAAACTGTTAATGAGAGTTTTTTTCGTTTCTTGAATTCTCTTTGCACAGTATATCTGCATAAACATGCATAAATATTGAAAACATGGGCTTTTACACCTCTACAACACTTTTAGAACATTTTGTTCACCCATGAAACACAAACTCTCTCTCTCACAGGATATAGTTTTATTTTCTGGAGAATTTGTTATGGATGGATGTCGGAGGCATATTACAGTCAGAAGAACATTAAACTGAAATTAAAGTTTTGGATTTATATTTCGATCGATCCTCTGCTCCCCTTATACTTCCAGCTGTACCTTTATGACCCTACTGAGATGGACCAGATATTAAATGTTTCTATCAAATCGAGTCAGATGAGTTGTTGCTGCTTACCACCAGGAAAAAAAATGTTTCACAAAGGAAATTGCAGCTGCTTTATTTATCATATGCCTCCACCTTACTGTATTTTCCTCCGTGTGACTTGACTTAGATTCATTTACCAGAGTGCATCAGTTAAATATAGATAAAACACACATTTATGCAATTGTTTGATAAGAATGAGCTACTGTATGTTTTCTTCATGATTACAGGAGTACTTTAGTAGGTGGTTTCTAAATTGGGGACACAATGGGTCATGAGATAAATCTCAGGAGGTCAAAAGATGATTAACAGGAGAGGAAATAAGAAAAACACATATTTCTGCAACACACTCATTTTCATTTACCTATAATCTTTGTCAGTCTGTGGAGTTTTAATCACCTGAGACCAAGAAGAGGAAGCACACACAGCTGACCTGTTGGTGGCACTAATGAACCACTCTGTTGTTTTCTGACCACAATTAAAACTCTCAGATCAAGTGAGCCATTTTTCCTGGAGATTTTGCCACTGATCAGAAGACTTCTGCGGTATCAAATCAGATAAAGGTTTTTGTTTACATTTAAGATTTTTTTTTCAAACATTATATATATGCTACTTGACACCAAAAATGTATTCTGTAAAATATACAGTATATGTAAAATTTCATGGCTCTAAGAGTTACTGTATGTATGTCTGAAAATCTCCGCAGCGCTGTCGTCCGCTGTGTTCTCATTGACCCAAACAAACCCACGCTGCTTACTGCGCATGCTCGCCTGCTTCTGGGAGACTGTCTCTAACCTTTGTTGATGCTGGACAGTATTTGCTGTGAGTTTACAACAGTAACCAAACCCGGTTAACGTGGTAATTAAAATGTTAATAGTAATAATAACCATCAGGAATTTTACCATGGTCTAACATTACACCGATAGTCGTGTCATACCTAATGACAACATTCCCAGTGGCAAAAAAAACATGCAATTATCAAAATTATGCCACAATATTTTACAGAACTTGGTCTCACATAGCATATACATAGAGTCTTATCAACATCTAAAATGGAAATCTGATTTGACATAGAATGACCCATATGAAAAGAATCAGCAGATTTCCAATGGAGGTTCTGATTTGAATTAAGCCCTGGACAACAAAAAAACTAGTGTAATTTAAATCAGTAGATTTCCAGTGGAAGTTCTCGCTTAGATTTTTTAATAAATTCATAAACTGAGCTCTGTACTGGAGAATGATTTATGAGAGATAAATCAACAGATTTTCAATATAAGTTCTGACTTTCTTCTACTTTTGGATCTTGAGTAAAATATTCAGATAACACAAGAAAAACTGGTCGGAACCGGAAGACTTCTGCATCTAGTGATGCAGGGTCGCATGCAATCATTGCTTCAATTGAAGGTAACAAGCCAAAAATGCCAGAAATCACTGATGTAGCACACTGCAAGATTACCCTTGACTTGCACTAGCATTCGGTCTACTGTGGACATGCATTTCATTCTCTGCTCTCTAATGTACCTCAGTAGTTCAGATTCAGTCTGACCAGTCAGCATGGTCTTTGAGCTACTGAGGCAGCTGAACTCAGATGGCCTTTACTTGGCGAGGAATCAAATTAAGCTGGACTTGTTGGCCAAGATGCACCAGCATTGTGCAAACTCATCCTGGAGCTTTAGGATCAGATACACGCCAGCAATGGCTATTTTTTATGTTTTATTTTACTGTGGATGAATTAAGTGATAACATGTTCACTGTTCAGTGGCAGAGTTCCACAATATCGGGCCTAGCTAAGTAGGAGTTTCATTTAATTGATGTATCTTGGATTTAATGTGACTTTTTTCAAATAGCCACTGCAAGTCTCTGCTTCTTGGTTATAAGTAGTGAATGAATGCTTCAAACTACACAAGTTGTAGAAACTTTGAGGCCTATGATTTGACACAGATTGACCTGTATGAAAGTTAAATCAGCGGAGTTCCAAAGGAGGTTCTGACTTAAATTAAGCACTGAACAACAACAAAAAAACAATTTTAAACACACACACACACACCGCTAAATCAACGATTTTCCTACGTGTATGTGAAAGGAGTCTCTCACAGTGACCTTTTCCACATACACATAGATATTTGATTGTTTGTTAAAATTACAAGATTGGTTAAAGCGACTTCAAAGAATATTACAGCACAATCTATCTTGGCTACTTTACATAGCCTGCTGCTACACAGCAACCCAGACTTGGATGAGTGGCAGAAAATGCATACAGGGACTTCACCATCACCCAGTGTACCGTTCTGTAGACATGTCCACTATAATCATCCTGTCATTCAGTTTGAGTCTCTGTGTGTGGACAAATTATGAGATTGATGCTCAGTAGAGTGCCTCTGTGTCAGCCTGACATGCTGAGGATGTTTGTCAGTGTTGTGACGGGGAGTGAGGCTCTACTCTTAGAGCCTGTAGTAAGAACCCTTCAAGTCTGGGAAACCCAACACTAAATCCGATTACCTGCTCTGTTTATGTTTCCATATTGGAAATCACATTAGAGCCAGTAATGTTTGCTTCCATTTACCGTCTGTTACATGGGATAAATGGCATAGTCTAACTATGAAAGAAGATCCTCTTATGTCTTACATTTTATTTTCTATTTGATATTACATTAGTTGACTGTTTGTGAGGGAAGAGCAGCTGTTTTTCTTATTATTACTACTGCAATTAACAGCTTCTTAACTTGATCATGTTTTGAGCAAAAAACAGTGCTCTGTTGGCTCTCCTAAATATAGTAACTTACTAAAGCCGCAGGATGGCAGTCGCTGAAAAAGTTGATGAATAGAACTAATAAAATTAACGAATAGAGCTGTAGTAATGACTATTGATAACCCATACATAATGTTGCTTGTCAACTCATGCTGGCTTTTAGGGTCCTTCCCTGAGCAGTTTCATCATTACGTAAGAGGTGTCTAGAAAATTAATCTGCCAAAGCAGACTTCAATCATCAAATTGGCTCTGTGCAGGGAGCTGGGGTAGCATGCATACCTCCTGCTGGCATAAGCCACAGGCTGGCAGAACATAATGGAAAGTAAAGTGCTGTATGTTGACCAGACATTTTTTTTTAATATTGATGGTTTTCTATAAGTAAAAGCAACAAGGGTATGTTAGATTATGAATCCTTACTTTGAAATTTTAACAAAGTTTATTATTTTTCATCAATATATTGAGCAGTGCTAAACTCAATCACACTGTGCTGCAATGATTTCTAGGAAATGTGCAACACAAATTAAGGTTGGTTGATTAAAGTTGCTATGGAGATGATTCTACTGTTTTAGGCTGCTCAAGGATTTAAGCAGCATGAACTGCAGCATTGACAACATGTTAACAGTAGTCCTACATCACTACATAGTGTACATAGTTCTAGCAGCAATGAAGAGTAGAGAATTTTTTTGTTATATAATCAGGATTGACTGCACACTGGTTTAAGGTTATGCTTTATCATATGAGCAATGCAGACGGGACTGATTTAGACCTGACCTCATTCAGTTCGCGGCGCAAATCAGAATTTTCATAAATAAAGTTTTACTTTTTTGAAAGATTCTTCTTCAGAGAAACAATACCAAAATAGCAGGTCTTAAGGTATTATCTATAAATGTCTTAGCAGCATTAAAAGAAGCAGGATGAAGCGGGATGACTGTCAGATGGGAGGTGGGGTGCAGGGGGGTGGCCATAAGCCTATATCTAGTAATGGATAACTCTGCAACTTAGCTTGCAAAGAGAGAACACAGCTGAGTGGTCACTTTGTCTTCAGGATGTGGAGGCAGAGTACGTTAAATGTTCAGATTTTAGATGTGGAAGAGTGCAGGTGACTATATTAAAATGTAATTCCACAGTAGAATTATAATTTCCCACATCCATATGTTATTCCACATCTATATGTAATTAAAATGCTATTATATGACCATGAATGAAAATGAAAACTGCATTTGACATTTTATTTCAAGACTTAACCTGCTGCACAGTGGACAATATTCAAATGCAATAAGTGAAACAGTGTCCCGAGTCTATGATTATTAAAGTAAATTTGAGGAAAAGTGCCAGCCTCCTGTAATCTCCCTCTGAGCACCAACACAATCAGAAACACAGCTACTGTTGTTGGTACTGGAATTTGAACTACTGCCTCAAAATGAATGTAATATTGAATACTGGTGTTAAAGTATGGCACTGTTAATGAGACCTCACTTATTAAAAAAAAGACAACAATGAGTAATGTTCTTATGTTGAGCTGTTGCAGTAGATCTCTGCAGTGCCTTCTTACATTATATATACATTATTATGTATCGCTGCTCATTTAATGAACACATCGATCAATGAGCTGCAAATTAAATGTGTCCAAGCAGTTCAAAGGAGTCCTATGATTGTCGGTGATTCTTGTCAGCAGCAATAATGATTTAATGTGCGCACATACCAATATGTGTGTTTACCATAACTGTGTTCATGCAGCAAAAATGCTATATATTTTTATGAACTTGAATGTAAAGATACATGTTTGTTATGCACTGGTGCTAGAACTTCCAAACCAAAATTTATGCAAAAAATATTATTTAAAGCTTAAATAATATTTTCTGCATAGGTCAGACTTCAGTCTTCTGCAACTTTTATGAACTTTAGGTTAATATGGCACTTGTTAGCAGTTTCCTATTCATACATCCAGCAGTTGTGGAGCAAGATTAGCATTGATTTGGAGTGGTGTTTGTGTCCACCTGATGGATGTAAGTCCAAAATTAGTTATCTCTATCCTGTTTTTGGTCTCCACTTACTCCTGATGGAAATATCTGGCTCTTTAGCTGCTAAATGCTTCACTATGTTCACCAGCTAAAGTTATACCATAGGCATAATAAATACCTATGTTATATATATATTTTTTTTCAGGGCACACACAGAATGAACAGCTAGTAGACTATGAAAGGTTATTTGCTGAATTTGACAAAAAGACAGATATGGGATTAGTATCCTGCCTGTAAAACCAAAACAATGAGCTGAAAGATGCTAAAAAGCTCCGTAGAGCAGATGGAGCTATAGAGCTGGTGATAATTTTACCTCTGACATCTGTCACATTTCACGTAATCATTTGATCCATTGTTATTCTAAAAATGGAAACACACTTCTCATTGATGAACTGTGGATCACAAAAATATAGATTTCTTTATCCCTCTGCAATAAAGCAGGGTTATGATTAATGAGGACATTAACAGTATATTCCTGTATGGCATGCAGACATTTACAGTATACAAAAATGAAACCTGCAATGAGTTCAAGGCTTTAATCCAAAATGAACAGAAATAGTATTACACTTACAGTGGGCACATGAGCATGCTTTGAATGCTACACACTACTGTGCAGCAGCCCCACAGCATCCACTGCAAACTCATACAGCAAGCTATGACATTAATTACACTCCAAGTTTACATTGGCTAGAGTTAAGAGCTATTAACTAATGTTCTTCTTAAAAGTGTGAATGAAATATTAATTAGAGAATAATATGAGGGGTTGTCCTTACCACATGGATCATGTGAAGAACTGATGAATGGCGTAACATGTTTGTAAATGCAATTATAATGAAGTGAGCTGCACAAAGATTTAAGCTTTTAATCAAGAAGCTGATGAGATTCTGTCTCTGTGAGCAATCCAAATAATCAATGCTCAGAGTGACGGGTGATCAATTAGTCCCCAAACATGGCGGCACATTGGCTCTGTTCGATCTCTAAGCAGCTGAGTGCTCTGATTAAAATGTGGCAGGTTTTTCCACATGAGTTTGAGTATGCTAAACTTAGCCCGATTAATGACTGCGTAGAAAAGACACGGGTGTCCTCTGGTAAATCACTGAAAGCATTAAAAGAGAAATGGTTTAGAGAGTCATACCTTTGAATGAATAACCTCCATATTATTTAACTCCTTCCCTCAACTGAATCATCAGTGCCCTCAGCATAAAGTAATTGTCGAAGCAACAATTACTTTTACAGATTGTTGTGCCAATAGTGCCATGGAGTGCCCACAGTTTCAGAGAGAGACAAGAAGCTTTGTTTTAGTAGCAATGCCCACAAATTACTGATTTTTTTGGACAGTTTTGGCAGATGTTGTTCCAGCACTCCTTGTAAACTTGTGCTTGCCAGCTTTGGCTGCTGGGTGTGTACATGTGACTCTGTAATGCAATGCAAAATAACTGTAATTGGTAGGACATTATAAAATAATCCACTTGGTTGTTTTTGTTTTTATTTTTATTTTATTTAGATTTAAGCATATGCTTCAGGTTTTAGATGTTAAACACAATACTGTATTGTAGTTTTTTTTACATGCCTTCATGTATTTTATGAGTATAATAGTACACAATTATCAATAAATCCCCTGATAAGACTAAAAACGAAAATTAATTTTGTTTGCTACTGAAATTTGCTTATTCTTTTGTGCTGTAGAGCTCCTCTGTGGTCTAAAAACAATTAAAAACATATAAAAGAGTAAACTGTTGCACTGGGTCCATATTCTTATGATAAATATGGCCGGTGCTGTGGGTGGGTTGGTGTCGTTTATCATGAAACAGCTCCGCTAGAGAGTAGACAGTCGTCTGGAAAAGTCTTTTAATTGGATTTTCGGATAATATTAAAAAGATAATATTGCACCAGCCATATGTCAACATGAAAACCAGTTTCTTTCCCAGTTCTTCTCTGCAAAACTGCTCAGGCCCTGTGTGATGTCATGAGGGTGGAGATGGAATGGCAGTGTTGTAGTCTTGTCACATATTTTGGTGTGGATTCATTTCTGGACTCTCCAGGACTTAAACATTGCTGTTTTGAATTGATTCCTATGTAGCTCTCCAAAGTCCTCTTGCAGACTGCAGCAGGTTTTCCTCCAGGATTCCTTTGTATTTCATTGTAGTCATCTCCCCTCCTTCCAGGGCCTGCTCCTACAAAGCATGCCCACATCATCATGCAGCTTCCGTCACCATCGCTACCGTGAACACTGTTGGGTAAAAGCCTCCCGGGGAAGGTGTGAGTCTGATGATACAGTATGCTGTGTTTGGCTTAACTTTTTCATAGCGATTGCAGATTTCTTGCTTCATTCACCGGAACCCTTCTGTCACACATGATGGACAGCTTGCACTGGATAAATTCTGTTTTTTGTTTTGTTTTTTAAATTGACCTTAGTGTTCCTATATCCTTCAACATCTCCTGATTGATACGGTTAAATAAACTTGTCATGGATGACAGTTTATGTCAATTCTGTTGACAGCTTTTAGCTGCACCTGCGATGATCTAAGTGTTTCATGCTAAAGACTTATTTTGTGTTTCATATTTAGACTTAATTTAGATCACTTTAAATAGATCCTGTGTGATTCACAGGTCTAAAACATCCAAGTGAGGGTGGATACTTTTTAGAGACATGTGGTCAGTTAGTGTGGGGGATGCCTGGATGTAGATGCAGCACCCTGTGACTCATTTTCTACTGTGGCCTATAAATGAGAGGATCTTATTCAACAAGATGTTACTCTGTGCTGGCTTGCCTGTTTGTAATTTAATATGTGTAAGTATGTTGTGCTGAAAATATTTCACATCCAGTGGTCAATTTGTTCATATAAACGTCTTCGTTATACAAAGGGGGATGTATTGCATTATTTTGCTTTCATTTTCATCACCCCTTACATCCCACTGACAACAGAAACTGGTAACAAGCCAAACGCGTGGCAGATTATTAAAAATATGAGGGCTGCTCCATGGTGTGGAGCTGGAGACGAGTAGACCCGTGCCTATTGGTTTCATGGAAACGCGGTGAGGAGAGCGGGGCTGGCGGGGCTATAAAAGCAGCCTGTATGTGAGCGGAGCATCACGGAAAGGACTGTAGCCTTCATTCAGTCAGCAGGCCGGCGCACATCACAGATAGCTGGGATCCACGCACAGCGCAGCCATGAGTGAGGTAGGTGCTTCTCAGAAGGCTGCAAACCGCCTTCTCTCTTCATGGTACCCTTCATCATCACTGCTATTGCTTTAAAAAGCAACTGTGATATTTCAACCCTTGCTGTAAAGTTAACAGAGCCGTGCAACAGAAACTGAAGACACTTGCGACGCGCGGCTACAGTGTTGGATGAATGCGCTTCCAAACGTCGCGCTTTTGTTCAACAGCCTGAACTTTTAATAGCTTCATCTTTGACTCTCTGTGCTTGTATATAAGTGTTGAAATGTAATATTGTATGACCAAAGGATTGGAGTAAAGAATGAATCGCGGTTATGTGATTAAGTGAGAAGTTTTGCTTTTTGAAATGTAGGCTACCCACATTTTTACATTTCACAACCGATCAATAAAGCTCCAGAATACTAAATGCCTACAGTGTACTGATTATTGATAATAATGATTCTAATGATAATAATATTAACAATAATGATAACAACAGTTTCTTTAATAATATTTTTCAGCACACAAAAAATCAGTTACCCAAGTCCATTATTGAATGTTTGTCATGACTGTGCTGGGGACTGTGCTGCCTGCCAACAGACATTGCAAAATGTGATGTTTTTGATGCAGGGTGAAAATGGAAGCAGATCTCAGTCATAAATGTAAAATCTCAAACTTCAAATGACACTCAGGATGCGTGACAGTCCATGAGACTATATCACATACATCCTTGTGGGTAAAAATGGCTTAGCCTTGTTTTAACTTTGACATTTCAAACTAAAGATCACTCCAGCATGAACGCATGCTGGGTGAGGCAGGGGCAGTATTGACCTACGCTGTTAGTCTGTGCATCATTTCATGGGGCTGAGCTTTTATGGGGGCTTTAGGGAGGTAAAAGTCTCCGATAATGTCAGAGTGGAGATTAGAAGGGACTCCGGTAAGAATCTTCTCTGAAAGATGGTTCACTAGAAACGAGCACATCCTTTAGTCATTGAATTATTCAAGGCTTGCTGCTAACACAGAGAAATGAAACATTCTCACAGTGTCCACGGGGGAGTCCTGGCTCTAGTAAGACCGCTTGTTCACCCCAAGAAACTAAGTAAAAGCAGATGTAATAAGTCTTTTAATCTGTATCCTGCATGTTGAGCTGTCTGTGGTGGATGGTGTCCAGTCCTGGTAGCTGCATAGTGTCTCCCCACGGCTGCAGCCTGTAGTTGGAGCTTCATTATGTAGTTGCAGGAGACATAAATAATACTATTTAAAAAAAAAAAAACAACTAAACAACAGAACTGGCGTTATAATTCAGCATGGGATATTACTTCTTGATCAGCACTCCCACAACATGTAAACTGCAATGAACACCAGCTGCCATTTTAATCCTTATGAATCTTTAATTGCAGACTTGTGATGTCTTTTTGTACACTGTCATACACACGAGGCAGTCATGCTGTTGACTTCTCTCCTACCCTCTTGTGTAATGCTTGGAGAGTGAAGTTGGAGTCTTATAAATAAGACATTACACGGAGGAAAACTGAGGAAATTCAGTTACATCTCATGTCAGGATTCATACGCCTCTAAAGAGCCACGGCCAAGACAAGAGTAGGTTCTACGTTGCTCTGAATGAATAATTAAATAAAAATCAATGGCAGGCTCCATCTACCGCCACGCTCCAACGCTCAGCCTTACCTTTATTCTAATCAGACTCACACAAAGTTTGAATGGTCCCAGGATCAGGATAATTGGCACTCTCACCAGTAGCAAGGGAGATTTACATTTCCATTGAATCATTACAATGTGACCTGTCTAGTTCGGACCATTTTATAGACAAAAAAACAAATTGTGCATATTACCATATTGCCGACAAAGCCTTAGGAATTATTTATTCTCTTTTACACGTAGAAATATAGCAGCTTGTTTCTCTAGTACCAGATAAATGTTGATAATATCATCTCAGGAAAGTACAGGCAGTATATTATTTATAATCACTTGTATAAAAGTTTCCCTTTACTGCATTACAATAATCCACAACATGGTTGCTTGGATTATAGTATTCTAAAAAAAACTGTTATATTGAGCTAGGATTAATGTGAAGAAATGAGGTTTCTGTTGGTATTGCTCCAGCTGATTCATCTTTAGCTGTGGCCAATGGCCATAAACATCAGACAGTTAGAGGTTCCTGTGGTGAAAGTAGCTTAAATGTGTGGCCTGTCACCATAGTGATGAACAATTCATCATTTCCAGGCTGCACTATCGAGCAAATCATGACAACATGGAGACTAAAATTAGCATTTTGGAGTTGTGCGCTCAGCTTCAGCACAAACAGACTCTCACATGCTGCATTTTGGTCATTTCACCACATATTTCCAATAAATCTTAAATTACTTATTTGTGTCGATTTTTTCTTAAAATCAACCATTTGCCATCTTATGCTACAGCAACATATTGTGATTACCACTCATTATCAGGTTAATGTACTCGGGACAAGTAATCCATTAGTGGAAGTCTCAGTTAGAGATATTGTGTTGTTCTGATGTGAACCGTCATTAGTGGCTGCTGTTGCTGTTGTGCTGTTTGGTTCACATGATGAGACTTACTCCTCCTCTGTTTAAGCCTCAGGTTGTTCAGCAAAACCTTAATTAGATGGCACTCAGTGGAGAGGCTCCAGCCAACTGTGTGCAGTTGCCAAGAGATGTCAGTTTCACTTTTTCCGATTTTCAGCAGAAGATAATTACCCGTTAGTTTCACACCAGGAGATGCACCTACACATCACTGTGGTGGCTCAGTGGGCAAAGGTGCAAAACAAAGCAATCATCTCGTGAGTTCACTGCATGTCTTTTTTTGCATTCTGTTTAGTAAGAGTGCAAATGTCCACAAAAGGAGAACCTTACACATTTAGTGATTGGTGATGTGTCTTGATCACTGGAAAAATATTCCTCCACAGCAACTTGTGATTTCTGAATTCAGTTTGATTTTTAATCCTCTACTTTATTCTGCTCTTAAAGATTTACCCCCTTCAATGAGAGCACAGGGCTGTGAGGATGTCACTGTTGGTCAGTCGTAAGTCAAATCACAGCTGCAGTGTGAGCAGTAGTGCAGCCTGTAGGGGCCACTGGCAGGACTTCGAGACTCTTATTTTGACTGCAGTTTTCTTAAACTGTGTGGTAGCTCGTTCCACCATTGTGGTGTCACAGATGAGAATAGCCGGGACTGGGATTGCTTTGTGTGAAGGGATGGCAGAGCCAGGCGGCGTTCGTTGGAGGAGCGTAGCGGCCGAGAAGGAACGTAAGTTTGTATTATGGAGTTTAGGTAGATGGTGCAGACCCAGTAGTCACTCTGTATGCAAGCATTAGTGAGTTGAATCTGATTCTGGAGGCCACGGGGAGCCAGTGGAGGTCACACAGTAATCGAGTAACGTGAGTCCTTTTGGACTGATCAAAAACCAGATGCACTGCTGCGTTTTGAATCATTTGTAGGGGTTTCACCGCACAAGCTGGAAGAGGGCACTGCTTCTTTAGTTTCTTGTTTTGACCATTTTCACCCTGAATTATATTGCTTCAGTTTATTATCACATTTCATATTTTTGTAGTAACACATGATGTTTGCAAACCAGTTACACTCCTACCCCGGGGGCATAACATTACTCATAATTTATACTCATAACTTATTGTACAGGAAACTGTGCATACCGTAAAACTTTAATTAATAGCCGAGTCCCAAATAGCCGTCTATCCCGTTTCCTGAAAACATTTTGACAAATAAATGCCTGCCTCAATTTAATGCCTGGTCTGGTTTTTATAGAAGTTCTTTGGATGTATAGAACCTTTTAAACCCTGCGTGGTCGCCGGGTTTAGCTGCTTCTAAGCTGCTTAGATCGTTAATGCAAATATTAATGTTTAAACGTATGATCAATGTGTCATGCTGATAGATCGGTTAGATTCTCCACAATTCAATAGTTCAGTTCATTTAAGGGAAACAACAAGCCCCAAAGTCTAATTCTTATAGATTTACCCGTGTAACCTGCCTGGTACAACAGAGGAAAGGAAAAAAGGGATGACTGCCGTCACTTTTGACCTTTGCCGTTACTCGTTAAGTCCCCTCGTTAAGTCTGAATGTGTCCGTTCCTTGATTATTTATATTCCTTTAGTCTGGAAGGGTCCACTGAACAAAAGTATCAAAACAGCTTTTCATAAAAATTAAACCAAGTTGTGAATCCTGTCATGTGAAGTCCATCGCTCTCTGTCTGCTAACTTCTCCTGCACCATGTTGTTGTTACTTCAAAATAAAAGTGCATAAGCCGTCTGTCGGAGCTAGATCAAATGAAGGACTATTTGATATCATTTTTATACAAGTATTATTCTGTTTGAAATAAATAAACTGTTTCATAGTTGTTTCAGTTTTGTGCAAAAGGAATTATATATTATATTTTTATAGTCTAATAAAAGGCTATTATTCAAAGTTTGACGGTACATACCTAAGGCAAGCGCAGTCAAAGTAGGTCAAAAGTGAGCAAGAGGGGGACAACGTCTGAAAGCTTGTGTTTCTTGCCCTGTCGGACTTCATTGCAACAATGTCTCCCCATTTCCAGATATCAGCAATTTACTTGGTGATGTAAGATGTTGCCATACACACTCACAGCTGACAGGAAAATGCCCAAAACTACAAATATAAGACTCCAGTTGCAGGACACTGGATTTATTCAGTAATTTAGAATTTCCTATTCCATTAGTATAACTGAGTATTTAGTATCAAATTTTGTAGCACATGAAAGCTTTTAGTGGACTCAAGGCTGATGCAAATAACACTCTGGACAGAAGAGGAAATGTGATTTTCTTGTAATATCTCTGTATTCTGTTGCACGTTAGATTTTGTCGGATTTGACTGGCCTTCTGAATGTGAAGTCATTTTTATGGTAGTGAAACACTTGTTGTGGGGTGGGGGGTACAGCACATTAATAATTAAATGGCAATTCCTTAGTCATCTGTATAAAATCTGTTCTGATAATTTGATCAGTGAAAGATTGCCAT